AAACCGGAAGACAGTCCCTACTTATGGAAGCACATGACCGAGTACGTGGTGACCACGGCCAGAATTTTCGATGGCGTGCGTTTGGACAACTGTCACTCAACACCGCTTCATGTTGCCGAATATCTGCTGGACGCCGCAAGAGCTATTAACCAAGACTTGTATGTGGTCGCTGAGCTATTCACAAACTCTGATGCCACCGACAATGTCTTCGTTAATCGCTTGGGTATTACTTCGTTGATACGTGAGGCCTTATCAGCCTGGGATTCCCACGAGGAGGGTCGATTGGTCTACCGCTATGGCGGCGAGCCAGTTGGTGCTTTCTATGTCAATCCCAAGCGCGATCTGTCGTCCAGTGTTGCGCATGCGCTATTCATGGACCAAACGCACGATAATCCATCGCCGGTGGAAAAGCGTTCCGTTTACGATCTATTGCCCNATCGCTTGGGTATTACTTCGTTGATACGTGAGGCCTTATCAGCCTGGGACTCCCACGAGGAGGGCCGATTGGTCTACCGCTATGGCGGCGAGCCAGTTGGTGCTTTCTATGTCAATCCCAAGCGCGATCTGGCGTCCAGTGTTGCGCATGCGCTATTCATGGACCAAACGCACGATAATCCATCGCCGGTGGAAAAGCGCTCCGTTTACGATCTATTGCCTTCAGCAGCATTGGTATCAATGGCTTGTTGCGCTACTGGCAGCAATCGCGGCTATGATGAACTTGTGCCTCATCACGTGAGTACTTCGGTCAAACTTATCAATAGGCGGTAAATGATATCATTCAGTAATCCTAACAACAATCAAATCCTTATAGATACCNACTTGTGCCTCATCACGTGAGTACTTCGGTCAAACTTATCAATAGGCGGTTAATGATATCATTCAGTAATCCTAACAACGTATAAAATCCTTATAGATACACGTCGTTGATGAGGAGCGACAGTACCAGGAGTGGGGAAAGGGCGTCGACTTTAAATCGGGCATAATTTCCGCAAAGCGCGCCCTTAATCTTTTGCACGGCCAGCTTGCCGAGGAGGGCTTCAATCAGGTGTACGTCGACCAAATGGATCCAAATATTGTCGCTGTGACACGTCATTCCCCAACCACGCACGAAAGTGTCATACTCGTTGCACACACCGCCTTCGGCTATCCACATCCCAACGCCGGACCCACCGGGGTACGCTCGCTGCGCTTCGAAGGTACACTCAACGAAATTATACTCGAAGCGGATATTTCAATGATAAGTGACAAGCCATATGATCGGCCGGGACCCTTCAAGAAGGATCCGAATTACATCAATGGTTTTTCACAATTCCAGCTAAATCTGCGCGAACATATACCCTTAAACAAGTCGAAAATTTTCCGTGCTACGCCTCATGTTGACGGCAACATCACACAATTGGATTTCGAAAACCTCTACCCAGGTTCGGTAGTGGCTGTCAGGTAACTTTTGACATTAGCGGACCACAGAAAAAGAAATCTATACATACATGCATTACTCCGCAGGGCATCACTACACAACCCAACCAAACCGCATGCCGAATATTTGCAAAGATTAGTCACTTCATTACAATACGAGAGCGGGCCGGTATATGACGAGCTGCGTGAAATTATTGGCAAGTTGGACTTGGTTGACTTAAATNACCTCTACCCAGGTTCGGTAGTGGCTGTCAGGTAACTTTTGACATTAGCGAACCACAGAAAAAGAAATCTATACATACATGCATTACTCCGCAGGGTATCACTACACAACCCAACCAAACCGCATGCCGAATATTTGCAAAGATTAGTCACTTCATTGCAATACGAGAGCGGGCCGGTATATGACGAGCTGCGTGAAATTATTGGCAAGTTGGACTTGGTGGACTTGAACCGCGCTCTCTTCACCTGTGATGAGGAAGAACGTGACCACGGCTACGGCGGCGCAGCCTATGACATTCCTAACTATGGTCGCATAGTTTACTGTGGCCTACAGGGTTTCATCTCTATTCTCACGGAAATTTCACCACGCAATGATTTGGGGCATCCTTTGTGCAATAATTTGCGAGATGGCAATTGGATGTTGGGTAGGTATAGTGTACACTGGAGCCCAGGTTACTTTATTTGTTAACTGCTGCCTCTTTTCTGCAGATTATGTGGCTGACCGCCTGAGCCATCGTGAGGGCACCACCGCACTTTCGAAGTGGTTGAAGACCATATTTGAACCTCTGAAAAATATACCACGCTACCTCATTCCTTGCTACTTCGACGCCATAGTGAGTGGCGTATATGAAGCTCTGGTGGGACGCGCCTATCAAGTGATGCCAGAGTAAGTGAAATTCATAAATATGTAGGTACATATCTATGTATATATGTAACCGACATAATCGTGTCGTTAATGGCAAAAGGCTCAAAAAACAAAAATTAAAAAAAAAATTGTTAGGTGTTTGGCCAAGTTTCCTCTAAAATATGAGGCGCGCGTCTAGGTGTTGTAACACAAATGCAGGGCCCTACGAAAAGTAAAAAAAAGATCTATTTTTGAATTTGGTTCGCACAAGGGATCGAATCTGCGTCACTCAGTTCGGCGACTACCAAAGCTCCTGTTTACATTTTTTCACTGGATCGGCCCATGGTTGCCAAGATTGTTGTTTATCTGCTTTTTAAGGCGGATTCATCGTTCTAGTTCAGAACTTTTCTTCCATTTGTTGTTGGGTCTCTCTCTGGGTGGAGAAAAGTTCTGAACGGTTTGAGTTGTTAACTCAACTTCAACTTTAGTTCAGAACAAGAACGATGCATCCGCCTTTAAAGCACTGTCAACCTCATTTTTCGACTCTTCTCTTCTTCTCGTTAGATTCATTCGAGACGGCCACAACTTTCCACAAACACTGGCTTTGGCAACGCTACAATTCTTATCTGCCTGCAAGTCTGCTAACTTGCCGCCACCTAGCCCGGCTGTAACACCTCAACCGCCGGAGATATGCGTGACCCTCTCAGCAGGTAACTTGACACCTTCAATTTGCATCCCTCATCATTCATTTTATGATCGTACTTTCAAACAGGTCTGCCGCACTTTTCCACCGGCTACATGCGTTGCTGGGGCCGTGACACCTTCATTGCCTTGCGTGGCATAATGTACCTGACTGGTCGTTTCCAAGAAGCGCGCTACATAATACTCGGGTTTGGCCAATGTCTCCGACATGGTCTCATCCCTAATTTGTTAGACAATGGCACGAAACCGCGCTTTAACTGCCGCGATGCCGTCTGGTGGTGGTTGAACTCCATCAAACAATATGTCAATGAAGTCCCACACGGCCGGGATATTCTCAATGACATGGTTTCGCGCATTTTCCCCTATGATGACAGTGAACCGCATGCGCGTGGTAAATTCGATCAGAAGCTCATCGATGTGATGCAAGAAGCACTGCAGGTGCACTTCCAAGGTCTGCAATATCGCGAACGCAATGCGGGCTATGAGATTGACGCGCACATGACGGACCAAGGTTTTAACAACAACATTGGTGTGCATCCGGAGACGGGCTTCGTGTTCGGCGGCAACATTGCTAACTGCGGCACATGGATGGACAAGATGGGTTCGTCGGAGAAGGCTGGTAATCGTGGTCGGCCTGCCACGCCACGCGACGGCTCCGCTGTCGAATTAGTGGGGCTTCAGATGTCAGTGTTGCGTTTTATGCAGGCGCTTAGCGAAAAGGGTGTAATCGAGTACAAATCCGTGGACCGCAAAGGGCCCAATGGTGAGTATAGAAATAAGTGAAAACGAAAACTTTACAATCCCCATATTTTTCAGGTGAGAAAACCACTTGGACCTACAAACAATGGGCTGATCGCATTCAAAACAATTTCGAGCGATGTTTCTTTGTGCAGGAAACGGAGACGGCAATGATGGCGAACAAGAAAAATATTTACAAGGATTCGTATGGCGCCTCGCAAGCTTGGACCGACTATCAGTTGCGTTGCAACTTCCCCATAACAATGGTTGTGGCACCGGAACTTTTCAATGCACAAAACGCTTGGAAAGCGCTGGAGCAAGCACGCCAGCATCTTCTCGGTCCACTCGGTATGAAAACGCTCGATCCGGATGATTGGAATTATCGCGCAAATTACGACAACTCAAATGACGCTGATGACTGTACGGTGGCGCATGGATTCAATTATCATCAGGGCCCGGAATGGGTATGGCCCATAGGGTTCTACTTGCGCGCACGCCTGATATTTGCTAAGAAATGCGGTTATTTGGATGCAACAATCGCAGAGACTTGGTGAGTTTATGGGGGCAAAAAGGGGGATGGAATGGAATTTCAAAAGGCCTTGGGTTTTATTTACACTTTGCTACACGTCTAACGACTTTTCGAAAGCATGGATCATAAAACGTTTTTCGCTCTACCACAGGTCAATTTTGCGGTCTCATTTCAAAGAGCTGCACACGTCCCATTGGCGCGGACTGCCCGAACTCACTAACGATAATGGCGCTTACTGTCACGACTCTTGTCGCACACAAGCGTGGAGTGTGGCCACCGTATTGGAGGTAAATGAAGAAATAATTTTCGAAAATACTGGAATTTTTTAAATGAATTTTGCCACTTTCAGGTATTACACGAATTGCACGCAATTGGCGGAGACGTTTGAAATTAGTAGCCCGCGTTGCTGGCTTGAGACAAATAGATGCTCCAAGAGGAAGCCATTAGAACAAATAGACACATACACGGTGTTATTGAAAGATCCTAAAGATCCCCCTACTTCTTACTTGTTGGACACTTCGTGCGTTCGTTAGATTGTTAATCTATTACATTTTGTATTAAACTATTGAGATGTGTACCAAATGTTGTTGGCAATTTTAATTCATAAATACATATACCATTTTTTTGTATTTCATAGTTTGTTAGAAAGTGTCATTGCAAGACACTCCTTTCGATCACCCAGTTGGTAGTAGATGAATAATTGCTAGACCGTGCAAGCTTAAATAAAATTACTAACTTATAAAATGCAAACATTAATAAAACTTTGTTTAATTATAAAAGCGTTTTGTTTTATTTTTCAAAATTTATTAGTCCATAAACATCACAGACCACACAAACAATCCTCGTTCGCTGTCCTCTCGCCGAAACGCACGCATTCCACATCATACCATCCAGTATAGATGGTTAATGGAAAGGATAGCGGTGTACTACCTCAAGAGAAATAACTGTTGCGAAACATGCGCATATCGGAGTTTTTTGGCGGGTTGATACGCAGCTTCGGCGCCTGCTCCGCTATGGGTTCCAACTCGTACTTGGAGCTGCGTGGCTTATGCTGCAACTTGTCTTGGGGATGCTCGCAGGCGCGACTCTGATACTCCTCCATCGGTTGGGGCTCATAGTAAAACTCTGTGTGTCGCCGACGCGGATAGAGTTCCATGCGTGTGGTCGGAGGACAAAATGTATTCTGAAAAAGAAAATGGCGAATGATTTTCGCCGAAGGAGTTTTTTGAATGGAGTTCACCACCGACTTACCGAGCACACAGAATTTACTGACAATAAAGAACCTTGCAAGCTTGGCAATGAGTCGTTACTAAAAAACTGTAAAATATTAGTTATTATGGTAGAAATATTTAGAAACAATGATAACATCTGATGGAAGACTAATTACTTACTTTCGATGGAAACATTTTTGATACACAGATAGAAATTGCGATAAAAGGAATTTATAAAAGTTCTTAACTGAAGAGAAATTTTGCCGTTTTTCTTTTTCGAATTCCAATGATGATGATATGTTTTCATTTTTTGACACTAAAGATTTTTTATTTTTATAAACGCTTGGATCAAGGCGAATTCACACAAGGTGATGTTACGAGTGCAGCTGATTTCAAAGCAAATAGTACTGATTTTTGCAGCGTGAATGGGTTCTTTAATGGTTAACAGGTGTAATTATTAAGAATTTGGCTTGCGAAAAATTTTTATAAAGTTCTCAGAATACAACACATAATACTTTTGGTGAAAAACCTCTTTGAAATTTTTAAAAATGCAGGCAAAGTTTTTTATGGGTCGATGAAGGGCCACGCCACTGAAATTAAAATGTATATTTTGAATAGCGAGTTTTAGGGTTACGGAAACCAAGATTAGAGTGCAAATAAGCCGTGGAAACAGTTGAAAAAAGAAATAAATTTCCACAATCAAAATTTCAGCGGAAATCACAAAACGGCAGTTGCCAATATGGAAACTTATTTGCCAGCTTTCAGTAGGAAGTCGCCATCTGTAATACCATTTCAGTCACTGGCAACGCAGTTCGGTTGCAATCGAAAATAGACCCATTACTCTCATATCCTAGCAACGAATTCACGGATGTGTAAATGAACACAGAACACAATGCATAGATATGTACATAAATAAATAAATATTTATTTTACTGAGTCTTATTATTACAAACGGACGTACAAACAAATACATTTTCAAAATTTAGGTGTATATATTTATATATATATATATATATATATATGTATACGTACTCAGAATTAAGGTAACGACTTAGTCTACGGAAATCTAAGAGAAAAACTCTAAACTCGGTAGGAATGTTTCCGCAAGATATTGTATTTGGATGAATTATGTACATACATATATATATGAGACGATTCATGTCAAATGCCGAAGCGCGCTGAGCGGTGCAAAAAAAAGCTATTTTTCGACTACCTGGGAATTAGGCAGAAAATGGGAAAAATATTTAGAAAACTATTTCTATAGTTTTAGTCCCTTTTTTTATTAATGATTTATATGTAAAAAGACTTGATCTTTCGATTGAGATAACTAAAAACAATATTAAAAATTACCATAATTGAGAAAAATTACAAATAAATTTTCGTTCACAATTTTCACCAAGAAAGTGGGAAATCTTTGAAAAACGCATAATACCATCGGATAGCCCGTACAAAAATCTATAGAAATTCCGAGCTAGTCGAAAAGTAGCTAGTTTTGCACCGCTCAGCGCGCTTCGGATATTTGACGTGAATTGCCTCATATATGTATATACATATATACTATGCATGTACATATAAGTATGTATGAAACTATATACAGGGGCTCATATATGTAACTATATACAAATGTACTATATGCTCTAATACATGGTACGAAAGAGAGAATGTAGAGTATTGGAATGACTAAAGCAGTTCCCCTCCTGATTAATGCTTCACCTCATCGTCATCGTTCACTGATCGCAGCTCCCGTCCAATATTTTTCATTTTAAAATCGATCGCATTAGTTAATCCACCATGTGCCAGCAGCAGTTGCTCCTCTTTGGGCTCGGTAACACAATTGTTGCCATGCGATTTCGAATCGATTGCTTCGTAGTCGGGCGTTTTCAAATGCGACATATTTGAGCGTTTTTCCCTCAAATGAGGAGTAATCGCCGCAGCTAGGTCGGTGTCATTTTCTATTTCGCTTACAGACAAAGCTAAGGATGGAAATTCGTTTAGTCGTTCGGAATTTAATTGTAGTATGTCTCGGCGTATAGCCTCCACATTCTCCTTCTCGCTACTAGATCTTTGGGCATTACTTTCCAATGGCGGGACACTTGGTTTTATTTGTGTTGAGTTTTCAGTCTTAATATTTTTGGTTACACTGGCATTATTAGCAGTGTGTGGTGAAAAGTTCAGAGACTTGTTGGCTATTGCGCGTTCGTGTATATTTGAGTGGTTGTTTGTTTTAATATTTGTGGCATTAAATAGCACGGCCAAGGGAAGCGGCAGTCGCTGCTCCACTTTGCTGGCATTTTTTACTTGCTCGATAAGCTCGCCGGTTTTGTAGGAGAGCGGTTCAAACACCTGCTGTTGGGGACGCTCTTCTGCTGCCTGCTCAGAAAGTAAATTGAGAAGTGAAGGTCGCTCCTCCGGCTTATTTTCAACCTTAGGGAAGTTAAGTTTTTTAGGCGGTACCGCATTTTCTTTCGGCTCTCTTTCGAACTCTTGCGGCGACAAGTCACCAGTCTCAACATTATCCTTTACAGGTGTTTGTGCAGGCTCGTTATGTTGGACCTTTTTCTCAATTTGCTCCACTTTCTGCACTACTTCCTCCAACTTTTCAGCAACCAGATTTTGTGTTTCTTCATTTTGCTTGGCCAGTTCTTGTTTCAACTGATCGACAGTGCGTTCCAACAGTTCTTTGGTTTTTTTCAATTCCTTTCGTGTTTCTTTAAGGTCGACATCATTGTTGCTTTTTGAAGCCTTTTGTCCATTTTTGTATTCCTCCGCAGCAATCTCTTCGTCTTTTTTTATTGCCTCTTTATCTATTGCCTGCTGCTGTTGGTTCTGCTGTGAACTTTGCTTCTCTTGCGGAAGATGAGAGGGAATGTATTGTTGTTGTGGCGGTAGTTGATTAGGTAGAGATTTCAGAATATTATTCGGCGGTACATTTTGTTTCTCGACTTCTCTTACGTTTTCGGAGACTTTAGGAGCCTCGTCTTCATCTTTTAACTCAGACTTAGGGGAAACTATACTGAAGCCTTTGCCTGCTTTCTCGGCGATTACATTATCTTTCGGGGTTTCTTCCTTCTTATGAGTATCGTCAGCAGATATCGGCGATATCGGCTGTATAGGTGTTACATTTCTCAATAAATCCGACTTCTTTTCGACATCCAGTTGTGCATTCAACTCCAATTCGTTTTTCTTTAACTTCAAATCCCGAAAGTGATTTTCTTCTTCTATCTTGTCTATTTGTGGTACGAAGAGTGCTGCAGTCACTTGTTCCATTGTATATACTTTTTCCGTTGGCTTCATCAAATTCGCATCCTTCAAATCTTTTGCTAAGTGTGCGCCAGAGCGTCTTTCATCGATGGCATGCAAATTTGCATAGGTGCCCAAGACCATTAAGCAAAAGCCACTAACAAATATAAACTGCGCCAAAGAACGCTCGGTAGAGTCTTTTTTAACAATCTTTCGAAAACAGAATGCTGGGAACATTATACAAATGGCAACGCCGATTGTAGAGCCCACTAAACCGATAATCAGCTCAACCGACGGTATCATTAGAGCAATGCAGAGTGCACAACTTACAAGACAGATTGTGATTACCTTGAAACGCGTCTCTGGAATATAGGCAGTATTGTCAGTATGACCCTAAAAGGCATAAAAAAATTAAAATAGGCTAAAACAAAGATTTTAATTCAAATACCTTTCTGTACAGCAGTGAATAAATACTTGCTCGGCAGGGGAATATGACAAGTGGAAAGCTGAAAGCAACCGATAACACAAATCCAATTTTGATGACATCGCTGCCAAATGAAGGTGAAAAATTTAACAAAATGTTACCTGAAAATGTTTGCCTTTTTTTAAGCTGTTGTGGAATTTAGAAATTCTGCAATACTTACCCGAAAAAGTTTGCGTGCAGAAGGCCACATAGCCGAAATATCCAACGGCGATGTAAACAAATGTGCATATCCATGTAGCGTTGCGCACAATTCCATTCAATTTCTCAACGCTCTGATTATTGATGCTTTCGAACACTTCGAAAAGTTGCCTGACAAGGGCAAATTTTGGTTTATATTCTTTGCTTTTGGAGTTACATACATATCTAATATTAATCCTAGGTGAAAGCTTAGACCTAATGAGACTTGCGAAATTAATGGTTTTGCGGTGAATTTCAAAAGCAGTGATTGAAAATATTTTTGAGCCAATTTTAAATTCATACAAAGTCTATTAATCTATTTCACTAATAATTACGTTTTCGACAAAGCACTTGGTTTTTGATAAAATGTTAATACTGTTTAATGCATTATATAAAAGTATATATTATTGATGCTAGTATACATAACCAGCATATGGTATGAAAAATATAAAATTTTATAATGATTCAACAATTTTACTTACATTTGGCATGATAGCGCCATACTAAAAATGGGCAAACACTGTAAGATTCCGGCCGGACGCCAATACTCCACTTTCTCGACCCAATCATGTGCCACAATATGTTCCTCGGATTCCAGCACTATCTTCACCACCAGGCACACATAAAAGCCTATCGAAGCAGCGCACACTGTTGACAGGCTATCAACATTTTTCAGCATTGCCAGTGGTAGTATACAAAATAGTGTTACGGCGATCATAACCCATGTGCGTAGGTGTGGAAAGTCGGCGGCATTGAGTGAAAATATTTTCGAAGTAATTTGCGGACCTAAATCGCCCATCACAACGAAATAGGTTATGGATGTGCCAAAAAGATAGCCGATAATACATAACTCAGCAAGGAGTTTGCCCGAAGCGCCAAATGCATGAAAACCTATAAAATGCGATAAAATGAACGAAGATCTAAAGTTAAAAATTGTTTGATTGGTCAATTTATTACTTTACCCAAAAATTCTAAACTTTTGCGACGCGTCAGCAGCGAAGACTTTATTAGATAATGGCAGGATATGCGAGTTATCCAATTGCTGATAATGAGCAATAAAACGGAGAGTACAATGCCGCACTGAAATGACAATAATTATAGTAGAGAGTTTATATTCAACCATTTTATTGAGCTTGAGGCTGTATGTAAACAGTTTATATTAATTCGTTTGCTTTTCGTAGTAAGAGGCCTTCATTTTATGAAAGACAAATACTAGTTCAAGGAGGGCTTTCTTGATAATTGCAACAAACAATTCTTTAATATTTGTTGTAGTTTCTACAAAACAAAAACAATTACATAGATTACAAAAATATTTTTGCTTATTTCAATTCTCGTAATAAAACCTAACTTATAGTGTGTAAATATGTACATATCGCTCATCTAGTAAGACTGTCACAACTCATAGTTCATCATCATCACTTTACATATTTCAAATGGCGCCCATGCCGAAAATAGTGATGCATATTCGCTTCTAACGCTGAATATACGCAATATTTTAATATGAAATTTTAAACACAATATGAAGAATTATGTAACTAGTAACTCTGCGTCCTGAACTCAAAAATCCTTATTTTGAGTTCTGGCAATTTTTAAATAAGTAACAAACAGTTAAAATGAACCTAGTAATACACTTTAAAATAAAATACGTGAAATATGCACGAGCAAATAACATTTTTTTTCAATTTCTGATTATAAATATTACCTTGAATATTAGTTTTAAGATATACCGAGCTTTTAAGCTATATATTTGAGAATATTTTAAACTATTGAAACAATAAGCAATCTGTAATGTAAGAGGTAAACAGATTGCGCAAATGCATTGGCTATCTGTATGCTTATTAAGTTCTAATCATAGGAGAAATTCATCCCGATGTTTACAAGTTTGTTTTAGACCATATCACTCTTTATAAATATTCGTTAAATATAAAAATTTATAAAAAATTTATGAAAAAAGGAAGTAAATAATTGTTGAGAGTGTTGGATAATTCTTGCTGGATTTTCGACGAAAAAACCTATAGTTTAGAAATAAGAGGCTGATGCTTTGCATTGGAACTCAGCCAAATAAAAGATACTGCCGCTTTGGCTTGATGCATTTCAGAACGCAGGGAACATAATCAGGGCTATCACAGAATCCATCATAGTCCGATTTTCGGCGAAATCTACGAAAATGCCATCACTGAATCCGAATAGCCACGATGCAGCAATTCAGGAAAAACGGACTACGATGGATTATATTTTCCATTGTAATAATAACGAAGTATTGCAGCAATTATTAAGAGATTTAATTGTAATTGAACAAAATACTTCTTAATACATCAATGCAATCTAAAGGTCTGATTATGCATTCTTCGCATAACTATGCACAATAAGTTGACTTGCAGAAAAACGATACAAAAGTAAATGCAAATTAAGGTTGCACATGGAAAGTTTATTTAAAACTGTTTACACATTTGCTGACAATCAATTTCTATTTTATAGATGTTTACTTACTACAAATACAGTACGATAAACCACTAATGCTTAAAAACATAAAAGTAATCATATCCAAATTAGGTAAATATCGATATTGGCAAACTAGAACATAGAAAAAAGCAAATGCAAAACGCAATTTGGTATGTTGGTGCCGGATGTGGAACTACAATGGCCAACATATTTAAATTTTGAAATGTGATGTTGATTTTTATAATGAAAGTTTAAGTTTTGTTCTATCCATTTGCAAGTGCATGAACTTGTAGATACTTGCAGCAAACTTTATCAAACTTATTACTATTATTTATTGTGGTTCTATAAATGCATATGAAGATGTGTTTTTTTTACGTATGTATAATATACGTTAATGACGCTTAATATAACTACAGAAACATATTTTCTGTTTGCCGCAATTTAAATCCACGATTAATATGTCGGCCTTAAGCAGCGGATTCCTCGCCATCTGCCAAATCATCTTCGTCCTCGTTGCTATTTGCACCGGCCTCATCGTCAGTGTCTTTATTTTTGGATTTCTTTTGATCTTCATCAGATGTCTCAATTTCATCGTCATTATCCTTGGAATCCTCATCGTCGGAATCTGCAGCTTTAGCAGGCTTGCGACCGGTTTTTCCAGGTGTAGCTTTCTTCGAACTAGCGGGTCGACCACGCTTTTTCGGCACTCCACCATTGGCAGCAGTAGCTGCAGGTCGTTTTGGGGCAACTGCTACAGCCTTTTT